ACTTTGGAGTGCTACAGTGTGTTTGAACTCTCTTGTGAACAATGTCTGCAAACAGTTTCGTTTGTGAGTGATTGGATTATTGCCAGTATAGTTGAGTATTTGATCTGTGTGTGTTAATTGTCTATATACTTGTGTTTCTAAATCTCCTGTGTTGGTTCTCCTGATTAAGACATCTATAAATGGGATTGTGTTATCTAATTCTTCTTCTCTTGTGAATTTGATGTCTCCGTAACTAAACCAATTAGCTCAGAGAACACTATTAATTGCAAATCTTCTCTATTATTTCAATGGTCTTATTTCTTGTTCGCTTTTCATATATTTCCACAAAATCACTTTCCGGACAGTATGTTCATTCGATGAAACTGGTACACATACCATGTATGAGGAGGTACTTGTAAAATGGAATTATTCCTGCTATTGTTTCCTTTGCATATTCTAAATATATCTCTTAATGTCCATAGGCAGAAAAAAGATAACATGGAACCAATTTTGAAGGTCAATTCTAGAATAGGACTTCAGGTGTTCAGTGGCAGAACACTCGTCAACCACAACACATGTGGTCCAGTGTCTAGCTCCCCAACGGACTTAGTCCTGAACTTCGCTTAACTGATGGTAAGACCGATAGAGATGGAATGTTGAGTGTGACATTAGCAACCCCACCTCGTAGAGAAAGAGAAACCCCAATGCAACTGAAACTTCAAATCTCAAGCTTGAAGACCTATGTTCCACTCGGAACGCGAAGGAATAAAGCGAAATTATTATCATTATTACTATTACTCCTGTGGGTTCCAACTGGAACCTAGGGCTTCAACAGCACATCTCCTTTTTGTTCTGTTCTCTGGAGTGCTCTTCGGCCGACCACACGATCTCCTCTATGTCATCCTTGGATGCTTCATTGCGGTTTCATTTGAACCATGGCCTGGCACACGATGTCATTCGATGGTAATCTCAGTATGTGTCTGATGGATCTCTATTTTCTTAGACATACTTCTCCAGCAACAGATTATTGATTCGTTCGTTCCCAGAGCTTCTTGTTTCTAATTCTTTCTGACTAGCCATTTGATCTTCTGTGAGGAGCCGACGAAAGTAGCTATAACTGACTATTGGAAATACTTTTCGTAACGCGTAAGCTAAGTTTATGACTCATAAAGAAGAGTTGACTGACTTAACATTGGTGTTGAAAATCCGAATTTCGTTCTTTATCCTGAGTGTAGAAGATTTTTTCAGATGGATTTCAGAGTGACATCCTCATCCTTGCCCTGACTGCCCATAGTTGAAACGATGTTGTCTTGCCAGAAGGCCAGTGAAGGCAATGGCTTCTTCCAAACTTCTCCCTTTGATAATGATTGCTGATGATGGTGAAATTTGAAAAAAAGATGACTTAGGCTCTGACGAGATTCGAATCAGTAGCGTTCAGCATTCCGCCTATCCCTCTGGCCTACTAGTCCTACAGTGTTAATCATGTTCATATTTATTTCCTACATTTTGGTTAGTAAGGGTTAGTTTTGTTTTTACGAGTTGATCACGGATTGATATCATTTAGAGAACCATTGAAAACCAGCCAGGGAGTACTGCTAGACAGCTGTTTCATCCTAGTTTGGGAATCACCGGCAGTACGCACCCACAATACGGGGTTCGAACCTAGGACCTTCCGGTTACAAGGCAAGCTCGTTTACCATTCAGCCACTGGGACCCGACTAAATGGCTCATGAATTCTAACTTCTACCAACACGTTATTTAGCGCGACCGCAACTAATGTCGTCGGTGGGATATCCATCTTCACACGTGACATCTGGATGGACCTCAATGGTTCTCTAACTGATATCAATCCGTGATCAACTCTTATTTAGAACAACACATTTAAGCGAACAATATTCTTTTCAATTAGATCTCATCAGGCTTAACTCTAATATATATAAGTTTACAAATAAAAATTCTTATATAAACCAATCATGGTGTTTTGTCTATAGGATAATAAGATGGTGAATATAAATTGTGCAATTAGTCATAATAGTAATAATAATAGTGGTCTTATCAATAATAAGGATGAAAAAGTGAGGCGATCTGTGATAACACGAATATTGATGAAAAACAGCATGATTAAACAAACAATTGTTCAGGTGGAAGTAGTCGATAAAGGCTAGTAAAAACAAATGAACCGATTAAGTAATGTTAGATTCTAAGGGAACTAAATGAAACACGTTTTTAATGAAGATGTGGTAAGATTAAGGGATGATAAGAGAGGGGTTGAAAATATAAGTAAGTAAGGCGTGGTGAAGTCATTAGTTGGTCATGTCTTAATAGGCCAAGGGAGGGATAATGACTATACGAACTTCTTTTGAATGCATAGTTTAGGCTTAATAGTTCGAATGCCTATCGCCTGCCTCAGCTGTGTGCAATAAACGAAAACGAAGTCTTATATGTCCAAACCAAGTTGACTTTTAACGGTTTGAAAAAATTTGGGCATTGGGTATATGATATTCATTATAATAAAGGTTTTTGTATTTCCCAATGAATGAAAAACAAAACGATATTGTTTTTACTGACGTTTCGCTATTTAATGCTAATAGCTTTATCAAAGTATTATTAAACCGGAATTTACAAAATCTCAGCATATATATAACAAACAGTTAGGGGGTGAGAAAATAGACATAGGTCAAGTTAAAGGGACATATTGAAAGTAAAAATAGCGATGAAGATAACTATACCAAATAACAAAGGTAATAGTATGTCTGTTATGATATCGAAAAAAGAAAGAAAAGTTTACTAATTTGATCATCGTTCGTCTGTCTGGGGCATTTTTAGTTGTTAAGTTGGTGAATTGGTAAAGATAACAAAATCATCATGTGTAGATTGTTGGATTTGATAAGTGTATGAGATTATAAAAGCAGCGTGTGTTTACATAATGAAAGTGCTTATCACATTCGTGTTGGTTTTGTCACTTGATGGGGGGGAGGGAGGTGTTGTAACCAGGTCAGATTCTGTTTTAGTCCATCATTCCTATTCAGGCAATTTTGATTCCACTTAATATGAAGTGCTTCTGATATTAAACGTTCTTTGTGATTTCTGAAGTTTTTCTGGATTATTTCAACATTGTCAAAATCAATTTTGTGGCCTGATTCTATAGCATGTAGACCTATGGCTGATGATTTTTCAAGTCTTTGTAGTTCAACAGGATTCTTCGGCGGTCGAAGAGATGCTCTACGGTGTTCATTTCTTCTGATTTTGATTTCTCGAGAAGTTTGTCCGATGTATATCGCATCACATTCTAAGCATTTTATCTTATAGACACAATTAGATAGCGAATCTTTAGGGATTTGGTCTTTTATATGGACAAGGTTGCTTTGAAGTGTGTCTGATGTTTTGAAGAAAACTCTAATATCGAGCTGATTGAGTACTCTTCTGATATCGTCTGACGTCTCTTCTCTATATGGAATGACGACTGTTGATGTCCATGTTTTCGGGATGCGTTTTCGGCCATACTTGATGTCTGTGTTGATTTTGTTGATGAAGTTCCATGGGTAGTTGTTTTGCTTGAGAGTTTCAGTAATATTTGATATTTCTTCTTCTTTTTCTTTCTCGTCGGTTATCAGAGAGTGTGCTCGTCTAAGAAGACTTGAAACAACTGAAATCTTTGAGCTGATGGGGTGTGATGACTTGAAGTCTAAATATTTATTTGAGTGGGTTTTCTTCCTGAATATGGATATACTAAAATGTCCGTTTTCCTTTCTCTTAACTAGGCAGTCTAGAAATGGTAGTTCACCGATGTCTGATTCTGCTTCCGAAGTGAATTGGATTCTGGGACATACACAGTTTATTTTCTCCAGGAATGAATTGTGTAGATCTCGTTTTAGTACTACAAAAGTATCATCCACATATCTTAACCATATTTTAGGAGTGAGTATGCTTGAAAAGATGTTATTTTCGAATTTATTCATGAAAAGGTCGGCGACTATTGGTGAGACTGGTGAACCCATAGCAACACCATTTGTCTGTCTATATAAACTCCCTTTAAATGTGAAATAATTATTTTCTAGACAGAATTTTAAGCTCTTAATTATTTGACTGGTGTCCAGTGGACATCTTTGGGATAGCGTTGTATCTGATTCTAGAAGACTGGAGATGATATCAAGACTTTCGGTAATGGGGATACTAGTATATAATGAGTTAATATCATAGCTTACCATAATGTCTTCTTTATCAATTTCTCGGTGTTCTATTTGGGATTTGAAATCATATGAATTCCTGACAATATTTTGAGTGTCCAGTAAAAACAATATCGTTTTGTTTTTCATTCATTGGGAAATACAAAAACCTTTATTATAATGAAAACGAAGTCTATTGGAAAGATTCGGTGGGATACGATGAATTACCTTAAAGGCTCTGGCTTTCTCCACAACATGACCACTATCAATTAAATGTGACGAAATTGAGCTACGAATTGTTTTTGTCTCTCCTTTACCAAACCACGATGGGAGATGTTCACTAACGCGTTGGCTAAACTGTATAGTAGTAGTACGCCCAATATAACTGTCACCGCAGATACAGTTGAACTGATAAATGCACATAGATGTGTGGCAAAACTATCAAGCTTATCCTTCGTTTGCGTCCCAATCATTCGTCGGCTAGAGAATGACAAACATAGGTGTGCTGTATAAAATGTTCTTCGTATACTCCTTGAAAGTCTTTGGAATAGAATCTCACCTGATAAGTCACCATTAAATTGTAACTTGATAAATAGAGGTTTTTTACGTGCAGTCAGAGTCTCAGGTTTTTTCTCTGATGTTTTCATATGTTTCTTTATGAAACTACCCGGATAGCCCATATATGTCAAGAATCGTAAAAGGTCATCCGTACATATCTTTCTTGCTCTGCTCGTAAGACATTTAACAATATTCCTTTTATATTTATTTCATTATTTTATTTATTTATTAATTTAAGCAATAATCAAACTAAATATTCATTCCCTTGTTTAATTTTCTATACTTTTCACTTTTCAGCTAGCATGTCTTTAGGCATTAAACATTCTATATCCTCTAGAGGAAGAGTTAAACATGATCATTCACACTATAATAAACACAACGCATCATCATCATCCCCGGTTGTTATTGTCGGTGGAGCACATACAGACAACAATAATACGACATCTATAATGACGCTTAAAAACTTCCACTATCCATCCAGAGGTAAATCACGACTGGATGGTAGTCCTGATTCAGAGGAGAAGAGTAGTCATAATACTACTACGAGTACGACTGCCAGAAGTAATAGCAATACCAATACGGTTACTACTAATACACCTAATCCTGCTAAGCACGGCAATCAAGACAATTTCCATGTACATCCATATCACTTAATCATCATGTCCGAGTCAGAAGCATCACGAGCTATCGGGAGTGGAGCTGGTGAACTAGTCCAGTTGACACGTAACTCTCTCATCCAGATCTGTCCAAGTCCATCAAGAGCTGACAGTAGTAATTTAAATCCATTGGATATATGGGCATGGGGTGGACAAATTGTCGCACTGAATTATCAAACAGCTGGTTTAGTTATGGATTTGGCGACAGGATTTTTTGCACGTAATGGGGCTTGTGGTTATGTGTTGAAGCCAAGTTTATATCGTCAATTCTCATCATTTTTTACACCGTATAAAACGAATCTATTGAATATGACAGAAAGACCACCGGATACAACACCACAGGTGAGCGCTGTTGTTTCCTGTTGTTGTTGTTGTTGTTATTTTCAAATTTATTTTATTTTAATTTTATTATAGCTTGATCCCACACAGCATTTTGGTACAAGTGTGAAATTTTCAACATGTGATATCGGTAGCCCAAATTTCGCAGGCCGACCATAGACATCATGTGTGCGTCGGCGGGGGATCGAACCTCGGATCATGTGCATGGTCGGCGAGAGTCCTAACCGCTGTGCCACCGACGCATGAAATCTAGAGGCCTTAAAGGGAAATAGAAAAATAAACAAGGCACTATTTTTGCACAACTGTAGATATGAAGAATAAATCTCTCCCTCCCTGGTTTCGCTTCGGAAGTGTTGTAAGGCGGCGTGTTTAAAAGTTGAGCTACTAAAAACTTCCATCTCTCTGTTGCATATATTTTCTCTCGTTTGCTTTGTTTTAATCGATTAAGATATGACCTCTAATGGTAGTATCTACTTTTGTGTATATTTAAAATGCTGACAAGCTTCTGATTCGCAAGTTCCTACTAAACTTGAGGAAGGGCCTGATTGTGGGGGTGGTGGCGTGTTCCTGTCCATGAGATAACTGTTCTTCATTTATATCCTTGAGTCTCAAAATGTACTTCTGAACATTTTACAATTGTCTTCCAACCAGCAGATACAGTGGATTGCTTGAAAGAAGGCGACGAAGCAGGTTTATCATAATGGAATGTGATTTTTGCTTCAGCTCACATAGCATTGTGTCACTGGATATACTGTCGATTAATATTTTACTTGAAGATATTGCACGAAGGGAAAACATTATGTCATGAACTCCCTTGAAAATCCTGTACATGTTATAAATACTGTGCATAATAAGGATATTACTACTATATCGTCCCTATTGGTAAGTTTTCCGATGCACGCATCCATGAAACTGTCATATAACGCTCTGTGTGACAATACAAGTCCAATATTACTGGAATGCTCAATGAGAAGATAAGTAGTTCAGCGAGGAGTAGGTTTTTGGTGGATTCATTTTATTTAGTTCTAAAGCCACACTTCTTTCATTCCTTTGCATTCTAATTGGAACTTGAGGTCACAAACTTAGACCTTCAGGTTTGGGTAGGAGCGATGACTTAATTTTACTGGGAGTGAGGGGTTAGCGCTGCTAGCCTGGCGCTGAAAACCTTTCTTTCTTGCAGAGCATGCCATCCGCTAGTAAATTAAGCAAGGCTTAGAATCGCCTTAGCCGGAAATGGAACTCAGACGATGTGTTCAGTTGGCGAATATACTATAGTAACGACAGAAGACAAGGGCCAAGCAACAGATCGTTTATTGAGGAAATCAACAGATATTTATAGATTTTTATGTACATTATTATGGAATATTGTTAGCAGAGGAACAGAGTCTTCTGATTGGTTGTATTTTTTTCGCTGAAAGTCATTCTGTCATCTCTTTGTGGCCGTTTCGTTGAAGGTCAGACGATTTAATCTGCGAATCGTATCCACCCATGCAAAGTCTTTGTTCTTGTTTTTCTCATGACCAAGATTTGGGACGTAAACATTGACGTAAATTGCTGTCTACCAATTTTGGCTAGCAGATAGCTCTCACCACATTCGCCCCCACCCGTTGAAGACTTTCGACTGAAGTTGGTTCGATCTTCTCGGTTCTAGTGCCTTTGTTTGTTCTCCTTGCTGTCTGAAATTCAGGCGGTCGCTGACGCTCACCTGTTCCTTTCTGTTTGCATTTGTGATCGTATCTCCTTCCCACTTTGGATGCTGTTTGCCTGACCCTGGCTAAAATTCGTCGTTATTTCATCTCACACTTGCTGCTCATTTACTGAATTTTTCAACTAAATTACAGTAGGAGGCGTTGGATTTCTTTACAAAAGTGCTTGACAAATTTTGAGATACCTCAAAAATGCCAGAACAAAATAACATTTAAGTAATGCAATACTTATTGTTCTTTACGTGTTTTCTCTTTTTCTTCATATCTCGTGTCCACTAGATACTTCGATTGAAAATTGTTAGTGCACAACAATTACCAAAACCAAGAGGATCAGTATCTAAAGGTGATACCATTGAACCATATGTCGTAGTGGAGATACATGGAATCCCTGTTGACTGTGCTGAACAACGAACTGTCACTGCACCGGCTGGTAGTGCCTCTGGATACAATGCTATATTTGAGGATACATTTGAATTCTGCGTCCAATTGGGGAGTTTAGCACTAGTGCGTTTTGTTGTCCTCGATGATCATGCTATCGGTGATGATTTTATTGGACAGAATACAGTACCGTTTGATTGCTTACTGACAGGTAAATTACTTTATACAGGTGGAGGGTTTTTCAATACATAACTCCAGCTCTAAATTGTTCATACTGCACACAAGCTTATCTGTCTACTTTCCCATATTTGGTCTAGTTCAGCCAGTCTGTGCTGTTAAATCACCTGATCTTAAATAGGCCTGGTTAATTATGTTCTTTTAACTACTTTAGTGAGTTTCTCGCGACAGGTAGAAAGAAATTGGTCAAGTGAAGTATTATTTTACTCATGACACTATATGCTACTCATCGATTAATATGAGTAGTTGAACACTCCTCACCTCAAACTGTGTAAACTATGAATTGTAAATTATTAACCTGCAAATTGTCAATTATATTTATTCTCTCACCAGTCCACTGAATAAGCTAACCAAAAATTAGATGGTCCTCATTAATTTAGCTCTCTGATTTGAAAACAAAAGACATAGTTCAGTGAAAAGGATCTTGACATAAGTATAAAACTTGGGCACTGTGCTAGAGCATAACTCCATTATGGATGAGATTTAATTTTGATAAATCACACAGTGTTCGTTGCACAGTAATATTTACTGATGAAAACGTTTCCAGCACAAACTACTGCTGCTCATAATCATATCAAGTCACTCACACAACTTTTTGCTTCATTTATATACATTTGTGGAATTGACTAGATATTGGGATAAAATCAATCAGAGATAATAATATGAGTGTTATTAATCAGTTACAATCAGATGAGAAATAAAACGAGTGTTTTTATAGTCAAAATAAGTAACTTGTTAGAATGTTTTGGTGTACGTGAATTGAAATAGAATTTTAAGACTATTTATTATCCTCCTCTGATTTGACTGACTGGTGGTAATAATATCTTCCATATCTCTGGTATTTACGTTGAGTGAGTCACTTCTGTTGCATGTGTTGCGTTGGATGCAGACTCAATAAACCAGGATTCAGTAATCAATCTCTCTCTCCACCAACATAGATTACTTCTTAGAATCTCAACCCTCTCCCACCCACCCTATTGTGTGGTTTTGTGTTAATGCATGTAGTGCAATTGCTGAGCTTTTTTCTAAATTACTCATCTTCTCGGGGTCAACCATTCTTACTTTAGCTAAATTCTTATGTTCCGACAATCTTACTACCCCACCCGATCTACTAGTTTGACCTATGTAGTTCACCTGACATACAGTCATTGCAAAGTATTTTGTAGATTATATTATTTGGTTTAATTGGGTCAGCCAAGTGGGTCTTTTAACCTACAGAGCTTGTCCTACCTGAGTGAGTTTGTAGGTTTGAATGCCACCCTAATTCCTGCTTTATTTAGAATCCTACGTAGGGTCAGATTTCCCCTCTTTATATGGTATAACAATGGATGACTTATATTCTCTCTTGTTTATGTTACCATTACTAGTTTCACAATTATTTTCAATTTGCTTTTGGCCTTTACTGATCTTCCTAATGAACTTTATAGGATAGTTATTCAACACCAACGCCTCTTCTATCTGTTTCATTTCGTCATTTCGGTATTTTTTTGTAGTGCTTAGTGCAACTGCTCGGTTTGTTAGACACTTAACTAAGCCTGCCTTAACAGTTAGCGGATGAGACGAATTAAAGTCTAAATATCTATTAGCAGAATGCGTTGGCTTTTTATGAACGGAAGTGTGCAGTTCATCTTCTTCTATTCGTTTTTTTTACAATTTGACATCATGACTGATTCTCCTTGTTCATTTTCCGATTCAAATGTGAATTTTATTTCCTCTACTAGTGACTTCATATATGGCAAGAAGTTGGAGATATTTTCTGTTTTTAACACTGTGAAAGTGTCATCCACATATATCCACCATATTTTTGGAGTAGGATTAAGTGTATTAAATATATATCGGTGAATTCTTGTTCCACTTTAGCTGTACAATCGCATTTACATACAATCTCTTTCTCATGAAGGAGGCTAGTGAAGACAGTGATCAGCTGTCACAAACATAGATGTTAATGTTAGTCAACACACATGGGGAGTTGAGCAAGTTTGTTGGGGTTACGCAATCAGGTGAATAATTTTGTTGAATGAGTTGTAATCAGGATGCACATAGAAATATAGGGAAACATGGAATTATGTGAGAGTTGTAAAGAAATACAAGAATTATAAAGAGTTAGATAAACAAGCAAATATTAATCAAGCCAGTAGAAGCGTATTTCCTTTGTCAGATTGCTTTCTCTTCACTTTGTACATTATTTTGAAGGAGACATTAACCGATATAAAATTACCATGTGTAGACGAGGTATTCGATTATCGCGATCCTTATAGAGCTAATGCTACCTTTCTGCAACATCATGGGTTAGCGTTGCTGAACCCTTTTTAGACAGGATACGCGTCGAACGATCAATGTACCTGGTTGGCACCACAACATCAGATGAACTGATATATGCACACAGAAATGGTCAGATAAGAGATCTTATCGATAAGGCTTCCGCAGACCTATGGTGGCTCGAATACCTTATCAACACTGGTTATTCTATCTCAACAAAAATTATCAACAAAATGCTATGAAAACAGACTGTGACGGTATGCTTCCGCTCAAAAATACATCCGCCAAGGATAGCTCTTGCAATGGATAACAGTATCGGGTATTTAACTATGCTTACCAAATACATACCCAGACGGAACTCCCCCACAAAGCACTGAAAACTGGCGCAGAAACTGCCACGAATGCTCTCACGCCATTACTGCAAAACTTTTGGAAAGAAGGAGAGGTACCTACCAATTGGAGGAAAGGCTATCTTGTCAAGCTGCCAAAGAAGGGCTACTTAAACCTGTGCAAGAAATGGAGTGGAATCACTCTCTTCTCCATGCCAAATAAAATACTAAGTCACATCATCCTGTAGAGAATAAAGGATGTACTGGATACAGAACTCCGTCCCTCAACGCTGGATTCAGGAAAGGTAAAGCATGTGCTGGTCAAATTGCTACTCTACACATCGTCATCGAACAAAGCATAGAATGGCAGTCAAACCTCTACCTCAGCTTCATTGACTTCGAGGAGGCCTTCGTCAGACAGCGTTGACTGGGAAGTAATTTGGAAACTACTTCAACACTACGGCGTGCAGTACCTAATTCTTTATCGACCTTATTCAATAACTGTATGGCAGTGGTACGTATTAGGTGATCCACAACAGGAAACTCAGCAAGACGTTCTAAGTGATAACAGTTGGGAGTAAGACAAGGCTGCCTATTATCACCGATGATATTCTAAATTGTGGTGGACTCGATTATGCGTCAGGTTGTGCGTCGGGAGTGAGAAGACAGGAATACGTTGGACGACTGATAAGAAGACTCTGGGAGATCTGGATTTCGCGCAGGGAGGATTTATGTTTCATGTCACACAAACTCAAAGATTTTCAGGCGAAAACCAACACACTGGCTGATAAAGCAGTACAGAGAAGGCAGATGTCCAGCTGAACACAGAGAAGACGGAGGTGATGAAGATAACTAAACAACCAACAGCATCCATCTACAATCACCTCGACAGAGATTACTTCCTTCACTTATCCATCAAGGAAGCACACCTTTAAACACAGGCAGTCAGAAAAGATGAAGACGTCAAAGCCCTCCAGCCAGGCAGAATCGGGAAGGCAAGATACGCCTTCATCAACCCGAAACCAGTTTGCAAATCTTATGCACTGCATTCAGCCAGCATAAAGAACGAGATTCAGTTGTTCAACACAAATGTGAAGTCAGTCAGCCAGTCAGTTCTTCTATGTGGGTCAAAAACTTGCACGGCATCTCACGGAAAGGATTTTCAACAAGTAGAATACTTTTATCGACAGTTTCCCGCTTCGCTGGCTCCATACTGAAGATCAAGCGGCCAGCTAGCCGGCCAGAAAGAATTGGAAACAAGAAACTCTAGCTGAGAACAAACCTACAGGCGTGGACCGATCGCTCAACAAATATGTGGGAGAAAGTGGGGATGGATCCATTATACGTTGAAGAGACCGTTGAGTGTAATCGCGTGCAATGCAATCCATATGTCGGGGGAATCCGAATTAGAAGCGACTAGTGGGACGTGTGTCAGAGAGTGATATGAAGGAGATTGCGTGAGGAGGAGATGCGAGACTATGGGCAATCATGGACCCAGCTGAAGAGAACAGCAGAAAATAGAACAGAGTGGAGATGTGTTGTTAAAGACCCAAAGGAATAACAATAATGATCAAATACTCTTGAGATAAACTCTATCCAAAACCTAATTCATCTGTAATCTCGTAAGAAGAAGAATACATACGGGATACCATTAACCTACTTACTTTCAACACTCATGTTACAATATGATTCAGTAATGTTTAATAGGTCTGTAATTTCAAATATTGGTTGGTAGGAAATCGATTTGTTCCATATTAGATCAAAAAGTAATATCATTGAGACAGTCATTGAAGACCAAGGAGTACTGAACAGATGTTTCGTATTAGTTTGGGATTCTTCAGCACCAGAGACCAGTGATCCCATCAAGGAACAACCCAAAAATCTTCAAGTCATAGGGTGATCCCCTTTCACCACTCAGCCACTGGGAAATAGTCCAATTCATGTAGCACCACCGCCAGGCTACGATGAGTATTTGTCGTCACACCAGTAAAGAGTAGCAACCGATGATTGTGGAGGCACTAATGACTTTGAATGTTGGATTATAGAACCTGTTGTGTATTCGGTGTATAAAAGCCATTTATTTACGAGAAAAATAACACAATAGTAACGAAAGCATTAAAGACGATATTTCATCCTGACGTAACTGATAAATGATTCTGAATTATCAGTTCCAGGTTTCATAGCTATCAAAACGGTTTCATCTCTATGATAAACCATACACTCTCCTTTCATTTATTTATTTATTTACTTTGATCGTCAAATCAACCTTCACCCTAACTCTAACCACGATCTCTAACACTAAAAGTAATCCTAACCATAACACACTATCAACCCACTGTCCAAACAGTACTTCAAAACTAGATCAGGGTAAAATTTGCACAACAGTTTGTGCACAGCGTTCATACTTGCTCTGTAATAACAGTAAGTTCTGTAATCCAATGAATATTTATTCGTTCAAAGTCACTGGTGCGTTACTACTCCATAGTCGGTATTCTTTAGTTTGACCTTCACACTCAACTTGGTGGACTCAAGTGGTCAGTACTTTTAATTAGAACTCTAAACAGTTTTATCCTGTATTCACTCACCGGTAAGTATTAGATTACATAAGATCCCTAGTGGAGTTAGGTGTGTACAGCTGAAAAGTCTCACGCTGGGATGAAACACTGTCCGGTGGTTCTCTAACTTATGCTACTTCCTGATATAAATTGATAGGTTTCTCGACTGCTACCTGTCATCCGTTCCACTTCTATTTCAACTGATCTATTTGCGTATTTGGCTGCCTCGCAAGTAGAAATATCAACATCTAATCATACTTTTGCTGCATCTTTAGAACAACTAAATATTGTAGTCGAATTTTGTTTTTTTGTGATTTCTTTGAGTTACCATTTTTTTAAAATTTATTGCTAAATACTTCTACATTTCAGGTTTCCGTCATATTCGTTTACGCAGTGATACAGGAGAACCGATTCCGTTAGCCACTTTATTTGTGCATATCACGATAACTAGTAGAACAGAGAATTCGAAAGAGGTAAGATAATAATAACATTCTAAGTTTAAATTCATGCAAAACAAACTAGATTTATACAGCTTCCACGCATCATTGTTCAACATATCACTGTTCTTTATAAATTAACTCTATTGCTCTCAGTTTTACTTTAAAACAAGCAACAGAATTTAATGAATTCATCCGATTTCAGTGAAACTCTTCCTAAGCTGAATACTATGTATACAGAGATATTATTATTATTGTTTCTTTTAATTCTTAGAGGAACATAGGGCTTCAGCCGTGCGTCTCCATTGTGTTCAGTTCTCTGCTAGAGTCTTCACCTGGCTCCAAGTCTGCCCACATGCTTTCATCTCCTCTTCACATGACCTCCTCCAAGTCACCCTTGCACTGACGACCAACTCGCCCCTTCCCTTTCGGGTTTCACTCGAGAGATGGCTTGTCTAGTGATGTCACTTGATGGTTTCCTCAGAGTATGACCACGAAACAATCCACCTCCATTTCTTCCTGCTTATTTGTTGCACGATCGGTCCCTCTTGGTTTACTTTGCTCCCAGAGATCCCTGTTGCTGATCTTTTCGGGCTGGCCATCTGATCTTGAGTATTGAGCGAAGACAGCTGTTGATGGTTTGTAGTTTGTTTCAGGTGCTCTTTATGACGCGCAGTGTAAGTCTCTGACCCGTAGAGAAGGTGGCGCTGACTTCACACTGGAGTTGAAAATCCGGATCTTATTTTTGATGCTGAGTGCTGTTGACCTACACACAGACTTGAGAGTAGTGAAAGCTTGTCTTGCTTTTCCGATTCTTGCTTTGATATCCTCGTCAGTTCCGTCCGCCTGTAGTTGAAACGATGCTTCCCAGGTAGGTATGGGAAGGAGGTTGTTTCTTTCAGGTTCCTCCCATTTATGCTGATTGTTGTCTGTTGTTATTGTTGTTACTGTTGGTGGTGTTGCCCAGGAGTCTTCATCACTTCTGTTTTCTTTAGGTTCACCTGAAGTCCTATCTTTGATGCCTCTTCTGCCAACTTGTTGCTTTTTCCTTGCATATCTTCCAGTTTGTGAGAAATCAGACATATATCATCGGCGAAGTTCAGATCCCCAAGCTTTTTTTGTGGGTCCATTTCATGTCTGTCTCGTCGTTGCCCGGTATCTGTTGCATTATCCAATCTACTGCAATCGGGAAAATCATTGGCGATAGTAGGCAGCCAGCTTGTCTTACTCCTGTCCTCACTTCGAAGGATTCCGTAAGTTTCCCATTGTGGATTACTTGGCATGCAGCATTGTCATACAGCTGTTGGATGAGATGTATAATTGTTGGCGGCACCCAGTAGTAGCGAAGTAGTTGCCAAAGCACCTCTCGATCGACACTGTCAAATGGCTTTTCAAGGTCGATGAAGTTGAGATAGAGAGGTGACTGTCATTCCAAACTTTGTTCAATGATGATCCGTAGTGTGGCGATTTGATCAATACGTGACTTGTTATATACATATGTATACATACCAATCGAAACACAATGGGAGATATCAGATTGATAAGCATTCCAACTCGATTGGCGTCTACTCTGTCAGGTTGATGGTTAGCGCAGTAGGAAACCCCTTACGACCGCCCTTTGCAGATTTACTCTTGTCAGGCGTAGAAGCCGCTATTTCCTAGAAACATATATAACAAAAAGGATGTATACCAAAGATATTTTGATGATATTTTTATTGTCTGTGGAAGCACATCAAAAGCTGAAGACCTGTTGATAAAACTCAACTCATGCCATCTGAATCTCACAACTTCACAACGGAACAGGAGGAAAACGGTACTATTAACTTCCTAGACATTTCCTCTAGTGAAAAGGATTGATGATACAATCGAAAGATTTAGTTATATTTAGAAAGTTTTCATGGACAGGAAAGTACATGCATTTCAAGAGCTTTGTTCCCGTCTGGTGTAAAAAGCTTAATCAGAACACTGTTCAATAGACCACGAAAAATTTGTTGTGACATAACAACTGAAAGTGAAATAAAAACTCTAAAGGATATTTCAATCTAAGAATGGATATCTTGAAAAGTTCATTAGTAAAGGCAGTGACCCTCAGTGAAGCTCTTCAAATAGTTTCAAAGAAATCTGTCTGCATTGATTTGACATTAAAAGAAGATATTTTAAAAGAGAGGTAGTCACACGAAGTGTTTAAAATCGAGTCACAATACCAACACGAAACCATCATGAAAAACTACAAGAAAATTCATCCTACCATATATAAAAAATATATCTGAAATAAAAGCTGGAATATTGAAACCGTTAGATATAGATATAGCACACAAACCAGTAAAATCGCTTCATTCGATATTATGCAAACCGAAAGATCCAACAGAAAAAGAAGATAAAATTAATACCATTTACAAAATAAATTGCATGTATGAACTGTAACAGACATTACATAGGACAAAGTGGGCGTCCCCATCGAATCAAAATCCAGGAACATAAATTAGCTGTGAAAAGACATGATACATATTCCTGTTTCATATCAATGCATATAGATAATTATGGACATCAGTTTGATTAGGATAATGTCGAAATTTTAGACAAAAGAAACACCAAAAGTGCCAGGGAATTCCTAGAAGCCTGGTGTACTCAAACGAAAATGCGATTAACCACACATGTTAATATACAGCAAATCTGCCAACTAATAAAAAGTAAATCATGTGACGAGAAAGTTGAAAATCCAAGTCAACAAAAAATGATCAATACAAATGTTGTAAAGATGGTTACCGGGAGACGCAATTCTATCACTCATGGAGAATTTAAATCAATTCACTACTTTATGCTAAAAACTACGCTGAAGGGGGATGTTGTCCAGAAAAGCGGACGACGAGAGCTCCACCACTAAACCAACCAGCTCAGAGAACACTACCAGTTGCGAAACGATCCAACAGTATATATACATCCCTGTATGTAAAGTATTCAGCTCAAGAGGTTTACGGAAATTTGATGAATTCACTAAATTCTGCTTCATTAACTTTTGTTGCTTGTTTTAAATCCGTATCGGGAAATAAACTTTTTCAATGCTGTTATACTGTTAGCTAGATGATTCATTAGAGAAAGTTGCACAAAAGTTATTATATTTATTTGGCTAATACTCACTGATACAAACTCTTCTATCTCCCGCATTAAGTGATGTAATGTAGTGAGAAATATTGTTGTGAGGTGCAGACTGTTATTTAAGAAAGGGGAGCTAATCGATGAGGTCGTCAAGCTACATCGATAATAGTGGCTAGAGCACGTGTTACGCAAGCCAAGCCACCTCCTTCTTCGTCAAACAATGAAGGAGTTAGAGGTGGTCAAACGAAAACCTGAAATCAATCCATCGAGTCTTTATTAGGGTGTCTGGTTGAGATCATCGGGATTCTAAAAATCAATAACATGGAACTGATGATGATATTGGCTCAGATGAATTCATTATTTATAACCTCTCAGATATATTATACCCTCAAGTATTTCTAAGTGACTACTCCTCTTCCCGTACATTTTCGCTTACTGTTTCTTTTTGTTTTTATTCCTTTGCGTTCCCAGGGGAACATAGGGCGCCTTCAAGCTAGATGCTTGAAGTTTCTGTAGCAGTGGTGATGGATGGGGTTGCTGCTAGCCTCATGCCTAACCTTCCCTCTTTACCAGTCTTACTACTGGCTTAGTGAGGTAAAGGAGTGAGTCGGCGGCCGTGCATCGAACACCGGACCCCCTGAGTGGTTGGCGAGCACTCTATCGCTATGCCACCGATGCCTTTCGTTTACTGTAGTTATTTTGAATTATGCATATGCTTTTTTTTATCTAAGTTTCTCTGCAATATGGAGTGTTGCAGCTCGAACTGCTGAACTCCTCCGCAAAGATCTATGCTGAAAGTCAATCAGTCGGACAGCCATGGACACTGTAGCTTTACTTCTCAGCCTACCTATTTTTAATTTCACACAATTAGGAAGTGAAGAGACACTGTTTGCACTATATGCTGTTTGCTTTTTGCAGACAACGCTAAATTGATTAATAATAGTGATTATAATCGGTTGCAATGCATGATACATGTTCTCACCTATTTATTTGGTGATATTACTTCTTCCAATTGTCATCACGCATTGTTATCAGTTAGAGAACTACTGCAAAACCGGAGAGTGCACTAGACAGCTATTTCATATTAGTTTGAGACTCACCGGCAGTGCTCACCTGGCGGGATTCGAAGTCAGGACATTCCGGTGGGCGCGCACTGTCGATGAATCCCCAAACTAAGGCGATACACTTGTCCAGTACTCCCTGATGGTTATCAATATTTCTCTAACTGATATCAAATCATGGTCAAACTTAAGGTAAATCAAATCCATAGGAAATAACTCTTGGAGATATTTTTGACAACCTCATCAGTTGATTGACAATTTAAACTTCCAATTCTATATTTTTTTTTGATTGCACACTAGTCAATAACTAGTGTAATGTGTCTAGTCCTATCTTCGGTGCAGACTGAATTCTATCAGTCATGTTTGCAGTGTGGCCACCATGCTAGGTGGCTCGCCATTAAGGTGCACTGTGAATTGTTGACATTAGATGGTTAGAGGCGATTGGTAGGAAGCCTTGCTTGACCTAGGTTTCGTGCTAGTTGGCACTCACTCATCAGCAAGGCGTATCTGCAACCTAGAAGGAACTCATGTCCCTTTTGAAATTCGAACCCGCGTAACCCCGTGCTGCAGTCAGAGACGTTACCACTGAACTACTGAGGACCGATGAGGCACTGAGCCACGTTACCACGTCACCACTGAGCCTGAGTAACTCGGTTGCATGAGTTCCTTCGAAGTTGCAGATACGCCTTGCTAATGAGTGCCAACTAGCACGAAACCTAGGTCAGGCAAGGCTTCCTGTGGCCGATTGCCTCCAACCATATAATTCTAATTAATAAAGAGATATTCTGTTGTGTCCTGCTAAAATTTACAGCATTACAAACACAAATAAGACAAAAAATGTTTCCGTTGGTTTGATTGAGTATCAGCGTAAAATTTAGC